TTCATGACAGATTACATTAGTTTTCAGAATATGTCTGTGTATTCAGGAGTTTAAATGCAATCCGTTAATGCACCTTGCGTAGTCCTACAAGGTGAGTTCTGTCTTTCTGTGAAAATTTTGGGGTTTAAATAATCAAATTATACTGGAATGGGGTTTACTAGATTAATCTTCAGTGTTGTTTTAATTATCGGAGCCTTTGAGTTGTTTTGCTTCCCTCAGTTGTCAGATGGACATTCTTAGTAAGAAGTGAGAGGCTGTTTTAAAAATCCTGGGCCAACAGGAGTAAAGCAGATAGATGCTTTTTTTCAGCCTTCTAACATCATGATACTGGAGTCTCTCATCCTGGAAGTCCTATCCTGAAGTAGCCTCCAGTGGCTTTATATTTCTTCCAGTTACTATAGCAAGTCCAGCTTCTATTACTTCAACTTGAGCTTCAAAGCCTCAGTCGTTGCCCTGATGGGGAATTATGGCCCATGTTCTGAAAATGTATTGATCAGATTTCCTCTGAGTTCTGTTTAAGCAGCAACATTAGAAACCTTCAGTGTTAGTATCAAATGTCATGAAAGGAGCATCTTATTTTGTCCATATCTTTCTGTAACAGTAGTGACTGTTCAGTTTGTACAATCAAAACCTGAGACTGGAAATAATTCCACCTTTTACCCCTTAAATATACACCAAGTCATTAAATACATTATTGCTGGGATTGAATTATCCTCGGTTATTATAAAAGGCAGAGTGGCTGTACTTCTGGAAAGCTTCTTTGACAGTGAAGACAGGCAAAGACGCAGGAATGGACAGTGGCTAGGTTCCCTGCAGATGTAAATCAGTGCAGCTTCATCAGCCTAAGTCATAACAATTTAATTTTCTCAGCTACTGCATATAATCAGATGGGGTGACATGGCAGGACCTTCTTCTTTCCTACTGGGCTAGTGTATTCAAGTTAACATAAATAAACCTTGAGCATTTTTACTGTTGATGAGTTCAATGTACTTACGTTAAATTAAACAGCAATAAAATGCGTTTTGTGCAGAAAAAATAAAAAAAAAATCACTGTTTGTGAATTACAGCTCTCATTGGAAGCAGTGGGCTTCCTGAGCTGGACCTTCAGGACACCAGGTCTTTGGTCACTCCACTGTAGCCCTGTTGATCTTGGTGCTGCCAAGCCATTTTCTGCTCGTGCTGTGTTCGGTCCAAACGCATTTCGGCATCACAACAAATCCTATAGGAGTAGCAGCAGTTCAGCACAACAGATCCACGCATAGCAAAGTCACTGAAGAGGTTGAAGTTGTACCTCTTGGACTGAATTTTTTGGCTGCTCTACTCCTCATCTCCTCACAAGATGAATACTTCAGACAGAATACCCAATCAGAGGAGATTACCTGGTCTTTTAAGAACTGGTGTCTTTCAGACTAATTGAAGTCTTTAAAATCTTTTATAAAGGGCAGTGTAATGCAATTTTGCATGATAGTTTCATGGATAATAATTTAGCAACTATTTTTAGTTGAAAAACCTTTGCATGAAAAACCTTTTTATTTACCAAAGCTCGCTCATGAAACGCTTCACAGGTTACCACAGAGGCTGAGAGGTCAGCAGATTTCAGAGAAGGGATTGAGATTTGTTACAATAAATAGGAATCGCTCCAAGTTTGGGTTTCTTGGAGAACCCAGACACTTGCGTTTCAGGACTGAACCCAACTTTCAGCTCTTGGTACGCTTGGAGAACTGAATTATCAGAGTGCTGTTTATCTCAGTTTCCCTTCAAAGCATACAACACGGGGGCACTGTTGGATACTACCCTGCGTCGGTAGGACCGGTAATCAGCTACAGCTTCACTGTAGCGGAGGTTTCATTACATTCTGTACGTTTTGTAAAGAAATACTGTATTTATGTTGTGTAACTGACTCACACTTGGGTAAATGTATTCGGTGATTTTAGGTATTTTGTTACCAGATTATGCATAACTCTACAAATGTAATTCTGCAAGTGGTGCTGTATGTAAAAACAGTTGAAATAATGAACAGTATGAAAGGAGACGAGATGAGACAGAAAAAGAAGAGAACAAGGGGCCAAAGACCACTTCAAAATAAGTACTTGGGATTTTTTTAATTACTATTATTATCATTTAGCTTTTGTATTCAAAGGTTAACAAACCACTGTGACTTGCTCATTACCTTTTTCCAGTATTCCCTCAGACCTCCTAGATCTGCATATACCTGAAAAATAGGAGTTTAGGCTGCTAAAATGCACCTTTTAATTTCTCTGTTGGATCCTTCAGGCATACCCTGTGGCTCAACCTTTTTTTCTGAAGGTCAAGAGAGTTTTATTCATCTGACATAAGTAGCTTGAGTGTGGCATTTATAACTTGAGTAATGTTATGGATGATAACGCCATTAGCAGGAGTTCAGCCAGCAGGCCTATCAGCCTGATAAATGCTTTCATCTTAAAGGTTGTACTGCTACAATAACCCTGAACCTTAAAGCTGCTCCTTGAAACCTATAGCCTGGTTAAAGAGATGAAAAGTGCCCTCTGACATTTCTAGGTTGCTAAAGAGCTCTCTCAGGTTCCGGTGCAAGAATTAAGATGCTCGCGTGCAGCTGTTCTGATCTGAATTGGAAATTACTGTAGGACTTCGTATTTTTAAATTAACTGGGGGCAGTGCTACTCAAAAGAATTAGCTTTAGATTGGGATGAGACTGAACTCTGGATGATGAGTCCCAACAGTTTGTTCCTACCCAATTATAAAGTGTCTCTTCAGGGTTTGAGGAGGCAGAACTCTTACACTGCTATTTTCAGAAACAATAGAGAGTTTCACCTCCTCTGTCTAGGTGTTTTGCAGTTCTAAAACTACTAGGAGACTAGTAAAAAAACTATGGAGTAGGCTGAAAGTGGTGTGAGAAGCTAGCAATGACAGCCAATAGGATTTTGGCTTTGTCAATGTTTGTTTTGTAGAGGCCTGAGAGTGGGTATGTTCTGAACATAGTGAAAGTGGCTGTGCACTGATCATGTGTGTAAAACCAGTTGCAATAATGAACAGTGGGAAAGGAAATGGGATGGCACAAGTGGAAGCAGAGTAGAGTGAAGGGAGTGCGAGATGAACAAAGGTCAAGGTCTTGCTTTTATATCTAAGAATAGCAGTCTGAGGCTTGTAGCAAACTTCAGCCACTGTTTTAACCCAGCAGCTATTTAACACAAAAATATTTGTAACATGTAATGATCACAGGTAAGGCAGCCAGATACTGTTTTTTCATTGCTTCTGATACTATGAAACAAGTCCATTTGTTTTCTTAAAATTCCAATGACGTCACTGGCGTTCCTCTGTAAGCGATTCTTTCTTACAACTGGCTGTGTTTCCTGATCATCACCTTGATCATAGAAAAAATGGTAGTGCTTCTTTTTTTTGACTGAGACCTTTGAAGCCATGTTTCCTTTCTGAAACTTTCAAAAGGGCAACCATGACAATTGCTTCCTGGGTGAGTACTATGGTATAAGTCTGATACAATATGCAGTTTGAATGCTGCAGGTCTAGCACGACATCTCGGAAGGAAGATAGAGAGGAAGACCTCTGACAGCAGAGGTCAACAAGGGTGATTGGAGTCTTTGAACAACAACTGTACAGGGAGATCCTAAGTAGGCTAGGATTCTTCAGCTTGGAAAAGACGTGACTAAGAGATTGGATAATAAAGGTCTATAAAAACGTGGCCAATATTAGGAGTGTAAGTCGGGAACAGTTATTCTATATGTCTTTTAGTGTTAAGAGATGTAAAGGTTACCAAGTGAAATTATCAATTATCAAAGAAGAGGCAGTATATTTTGCTGGAAGCTACATGCGTGTGCAGGAGAGGTGCCTGCTCAGCACATCCTGGTCTTTTACTCTTCCCCAAACACTTTACCACTGTTAGAGGTAAGATACAAGGCTAGATGAATTTTTGATCTAGGCATATAATTGTTAGAATCTTGAATTTAGAAGCACTGGAAATAGGTGGTAGGCTGAAGGACAGGTATAAAACTTGACCTTCCTTTTAGCTTCATTTTTAATGTTGCCTAGTTCTCAAGTTGATGAGTGCCTTAAACTTGCTTTAAAACATACTTGCCTCATGAAATTGCTTGATAGCAGCAGCAGCCTTGGCTAATGCGTTTATTGCTTTGTGGATGTATTAATCCTTATTTCCTGATGTTTTTCTAAAATTCATACAGTATGCAGAATCTTAACTTGCTTAAAGCCTCAAGACAGAAAACGCTTATAAAAAGGATATTGTAGGTTCCAGTCAGTCTGACTTCAGTCAGAACACATTGGCTACGGAGTAGTTCAGGGGCAAGAAAAACCCGTGCATTATCCATTTTGTGTTTGAAATGGTGGGTAGAAGCTCTTCTCCATCTTTTCCTGCATGTGTAACATACTGCCTTCCTCTCGGACTATAATAATCTACTTGCAGTTACCTGATCATATTGCTTTTAGCCTGTTTTTGGAAGGCATTCTCCTACCTTCTCTCAGCTCATCAACTGACTAACCTGTTCTCCTCTATTCAGCTTTCTATTTCTCATAAGCTGTTTGAAATCTCTAAGACCTCACTTTTGTCAGCTGTGCCTTTTGATATTGTTGTGGCTGATGCATACCTTGGTTTCTACCACCAATTTGAGAAGTTTCTGTATAATGAAGAATACTGCAGAACCTGTGGTAGCCCTTCTGCCAGCTTGCTTTAGTTGTAGTAATGGTCAAGTTCAAATAAAGTGTGATGTTTCATATTAAGGTGAACAAAATGCACCGCACCATGAAACATTATTTGCTCACAGATTTTAGGAATGTGCCTCTACACCCTGCTGCTTTAACTTCATTCTTTATATACAACTTCGGTTGCGGTGTCCTGTTGTGGCACCGTTTCACATCTGTGATTGCTTTGCTTTCAGTTAATTTCCAGCATCGCTAGTTAATTGCAAGATCCATTTGAAGGAGGGTCCAGTGGCTGACACTTGAGGAACTGAGAGCTGTTCTGTTATTTACAGGTACTGTTTGGCACTGCTGATGGACAGGTTATCGTCATGGACTGCCATGGCCGAATGCTGGCCCACGTGCTCCTTCATGAGTCGGATGGCATCCTCAGCATGTCCTGGAACTACCCCAGCTTCCTGGTGGAGGACAGCAGTGAGAGCGACACGGACTCCGACGACTATTCCCCACCGCAAGGTAGTGTTGTGCGCGCATCCTTCTGTTTCAGCTTTGAAGGTGCTCATGAAGACATCATGAATGCCAGGGAGTTG